TCTTTACAGATTAGTTACGTTGAGTATCTTTCATGTAAAAGCCTGCACTTTAAAGAGAACATTTTTTTAATGTTTCTTTATTTTTCAGAGAGAGAAAGACAGAGTGCGAGCAGTGGAGGGGCAGAGAGAGAGGGAGACACAGAACTGGAAATGGGCTCCAGGTTCCAGGCTGTCAGCACAGAGCCCCACGTGGGGCTTGGACTCATGAATTGTGAGATCATGACCTGAGCCGAAGTCGGAAGCTTAACCGACTGAGCCACCCAGTTGCCCCTAAAAGACTGCACTTTTAACCTTTATATTCTGTTGCCTCCTTAAAATTTGGTTTCCATATGTCTTAAATGGGCATAATCATACCTAATCTCTCAGGACTATGATGAGAATTAAAGCAAATTAAATAATATAATGTATATAAAGTGTTTAGCCCAGTGCCCAACATGTAGTAGACATTCAGTAAAGGGTATTTATTATTATTTACACATAAATGTGATACTAATGTAATTTTAATTTATTTCTTTATTAAAAAATTTTTTTATGTTGATTTATTTCTGGGAGAGAGAGAGAGAAACAGATTGTGAGTCGGGGAGGAGCAGAGAAAGACGGAGACACGGAATTTGAAGCAGGCCCCAGGCTCTGAGCTGTCAGCACAGGGTCTGATGCAGGGCTTCAACTCAAACTGGGAGATCATGACTTGAGTCAAAGTCAGCCACTTGCCCAACTGAGCCACCCAGGCGCTCCTCTAATTTTAGTTTATATTTTTAACAGCTTGAGGTATGATTTGCATATAGTTATATTCCCTTATTTTAAGCATACAAGTTTTAGTAAATTTACATAAACATGCAACCATCACCACAATGTAGTTTTACATTTTCATCCCCCTCCCCAAAAAAGAACCCTTGTGCCCATTTGTAGTTACTGCCTATTCCCATCCCAAGCCCCAGGCAACTGCTAATCTATATTCTGTCTCTATAGACTTATCCAGGTTGGAACATTTATATATATACAAATTTAGGGGTGCCTGGGTGGCAGTTGGGCATCTGACCCTTGGTTTCAGCTTGGGTCATGATCTCATGATTCATGAGTTCTGCGCTGCTGGTGCAGAAACTGCTTGGGATTCTCTCTACCCCCCTCTCTCTGCCTCTCCCCCACTCGTGCTCGCTCTCTCCCTCTCTCTCTCAAAATAAATTAAAAAAAAAGACATTTAAAAATAAATAAATGCAAACTTTATTTCAACAGTACACAAATACGTTTCTTCTATTCATTTCATTTCTTCCCCTTTTTTGTCATATACATTGTCTTTATACATTGTATATATATATATACACATTACGTCTTTATACATTGTATGCCGATCAACACAGATTTATAATTACTGCTTTAAATAGTTGTCTTTTAAATTAGATAGAAGAGCTATAAAGATATATTTTTACTGCCTTTCATATTTACCTATGTAGTTACTTTTACTATCGTTCTTCATTTCTAACAGGGAGGGAAGTTATTGTCTATAGTATCCTTTCATTTCTGTCTTAAGATTCCCATTAGTATTTTTTATAAGGAGGGCTGGTTAGCACTGAATTCTCTCAGCTTTGTTTATAATGGAATGTCTTCATTTCTCCTCTGTTTTTGAAGGACAGCTTGCTGGATATGTATTCTTTGTTGCCAGTCTGTTTCCTTTAGCACTTTGACCGCTGTCCCACTGCCTTCTGACTTCTACGGTTTGTGGTAAATAGTTAGGTGTTAACCTTATTGAGGGCCCTTGTATGTCATGGGCTTCTTTCCCATTGCTGTTAAGATTCTTTGTCAGGGCGCCTGGGTGGCTCAGTAGGTTAAGTGTCCAACTTTGGCTCAGGTCATGATCTTACGGTCTGTGAGTTCGAGCCCTGCATCAGGTTCTATGCAGGCAGCTCAGAGCCTGGAGCCTGTTTCAGATTCTGTGTCTCCCTCTCTCTCTGCCCCTCCCCCGCTCATGCTGTCTCTCTCTGTTTCAAAAATAAATAAAAACTATAAAAAATTTATTTAAAAAAAGATTTTTTGTCTTTGCCTTTCAGAATCTTTACTATGATGTTTCTGTGTGTGGATCTCTTGCATTTATCCTACATAGAGTTTGATGAGCTAGGATGTTTATGTAGATTAAGGGTGTTTATCAAATCTGAGAAGTCTTGCAGCCATTATTTCTTTAAATACTGTTTCTTTCCCTTTCTCTCTCTTCTCTTTCTGGTACTTCAATTATTCACATGTTGGTATATTTGATCGTGTCTCCTTTGTCTTTGAGAGTCTGTTTGTTTTTCCTCATTCTTTTTACTTTCTGTTTCTCAGACTGGGTAATCTCAACTGACCTTCAAATTTGCTGATCCTTCCTTCTGTGTACTCAACTCTGTTGTTGAGCCCTTGTCTTGGTCAGCTCTGGCTGCCATAACAGAATACCATAGACCAAATGACTTAAACAACAGAAATCTATTTTCTCACAGTTCTAGAGGCTAGAAGTCCCAGATCAAGATTGCCAGCCAGTTTGACCCCTGGTGAGGGCTCTCTTACTAGCTTACACATGGTTGCCTTCTCACTATGTTCTTACATGGTAGACAGAGAGAGTGAGTTTTCTGGTATCTCCTTTTATAAGGGCATTGATTCTATCAGATCACAGCTCTACCCTTATGATCTTATTTAACCTTAATTACTTCTTTACTCCAAATACACTCAAACTAGAGGTCAGGGCTTCAACACATAAATTTGGACAGAACGCAATCCAGTCCACAGCAGCCCTTCTAGTGAATTCTTCATTTCCAGATATTGTAATTTTCAACTCTAGAATTTCTATTTGGTTCTTTTTTTTTTTTTTTTTTTTTTTTTACAATTCCTATTTCTTTATTAGTATATTGTATTTGGTGAGATATTTTCTCATGTTTTACTTTAGTTCTTTAGACACGGTGTTCTTTATTTCTTTGACATATGCTGATTTAAAGTCTTTCTGTAGTAAGTCCAATGTCTGGGCTTCCTCAGGGACAGTTTCTATTTATGTATTCCCTTTCCCCCATGCTTTCCTGTTTCTTTTTCATGCCTCTTTTTTTTTTTTTTTTTTTTGCTGAACACTGGACATTTAACATAATGTAATGTGGCAACCCAGAAAATCAGATTTCTCCCCCTCCCCAGAATTTGTTGCTGTTGCTGCTTACTATTGCTGTTTGTATCTTTGTTTAATGGGTTTTCTGCACTAATTCTGTAAGGTCTGTATTCTTTGTCGTGTAAGGCCGGTAAAGTCAATGCTTTGTTAGCTTAGTGGTCAGCTAGTGACTGGACAGAGTTCTTTAAATGCGTAAAATCAAAAGGTCTCCTAGTCTCTGCCAAAGGGTTTGTGTGTATGTTGAGGGACCCCTCAACACTCATCCAGGCTGCTGACTGCTCTGCTTTAGCCTTCACTTCCGGTTTACTCCAAGCCTCATGGTCAGCTAGAGGTGAGGGCTTAAGGCATGCTTGCAGCCCTGAGTATGTGTGGTCTTCCACCTCCCCAAGACTGTGTTGGAGCTTTTCAAAGCCCCTATGCACATCTCATTCCCAGCTTTTTAAGTTTTGTGATTAGCCTATTATGAGCCCCAACTGTTATCCATCACCTCAGGCAGCAATGAAGTTAAGCAACTGCCTCTAATGTTTTCAGATATCCTAAGGGAAAGGCTTTTCATTTTGGGGAAAGTGCCAAGTCAGGTCAAACAAAGACAGCCTTAGACGTAGAATCTTCCAGAAAACCTCCAGACAGGTCAAATCATGATAGTTCTCTGGAAGTGAAGCTTTGCATAAGCTCCAATGCCACTGTCTCGCCTGATGGCTGCTGGGCTACTGGCTTTCATCTTGCCAGTGTGGGCTACTGTTTTTCAAAGCAACTGTGGAGGTGGGGGATGGGAACAGAGCAAGCTGACTGCCACAAAGCCTGATGTTCTTACCAAAATTCAGCCATTTTTCTTGAACAAACACTTTTCAGATTGCAGTAAGCGTTTGATCAATGTCCAGGGTCTAACATGTTTGATTCTAACCCTTTTTGCCAGTTTTCCCATGGCTTTTACAGAGGAGAGAATTTCTGGAGGTTCTCCCTCCGCCAATTTTGCTGGCATGGCCACCCTCATATAGATAGGATCACACAATATGTGGTCTGCGTCTGGCTTCGTTCACTCAGCATATTACTTTTGGGGTTCATCCCGGGTTGTCATAGGTATCAACGCTTTGTTTCATTTACTGCCAAATAGTATTCCATTGAATGGATGGACCTGTACAGAAATGGTAAAATATGTCTACAGGTTTGAAGTACTTGAAAAGTAGCACCTTGAGGTATCAGATATTTTTTTTTTAATGTTTGCCTATGAGAGAGAAAGAGAGACGTGTGCAAGCAAGGGAGGGACAGAGAAAAAGGGAGATGAGGATCTGAGGTGGGCTTCTGTGCTGAGAGCAGAGAGCCCGACGCAGGGCTTGAACCAACAGACAGTGAGAACATGACCTGAGCTGAAGTCGGACACTTAACTGACTGAGCAACCCAGGCACCCATGGACATACTTAATAATACAAATGGAACACTATTTTAAAGAAGTTGTCATAACCAAGTAAATGTAATATGTTTTATGATTTGATAAGCTTTCCTTTATTTATTTATATTAATCTTATTTCTTTTGGTGTTAGACTTTTTTTGTGGCTTTTCTATCCATTCATCCCAAGCATTTGTTGGCCACTGAGGAAGGCATGAGATCATAGCATTTACCAGCTCACAGGGTTTATAAGGCAACGATTATTACCTGTAAAACATGCTAAGTGCCATACAGATAGGATAAACAAAGCCCTCTGAGGATAAATGCTATATATTTTACACAATTTATATTTTAAATTTATATATATGAGATATATGTCTAGAAATATAATTTTTTCAATTCATAAAATAAGTCAGAAAATCATAATTGCTTGAAAGAACTAAGTCGTAGAACAAAAAGGATCATCAAGAACTTTTTTAATGTGTATTTTTCCTTTACCTCCACCATCTGCACACGCACATGATACAGACGGTCTGGTCGCGGGTTATTTGGCTCCTCGTAGATGATGGACATGTGCCGACCCTGTTGAAAGAAAAACATGAACACCACGGTTGAGATATTCTGAGGCTTATAACTGATCTAAGAACCCATTTCTAGGATCTACATTACATGGAATGCCTGATGCTAAAAAATCGTGAAGGGAACAGACTGGCACAAGGATTAGTGAATGGAAACAGAAAATACCTAATACAGTGCATGTTCACAAATAGGAAACCAGGAAAATCCCCTTGACCAAAAGCGGCTAAAAAGATGGATTTTTTTTTTAACAAAAACTATGCTTTGCAGACAATGCATGAGGTGCCTTTCCATTACTGCTGACAGGTCCAGACTGTGGTAACCAGAAAGTGCTTTGGTGGGTGAGTTAGTGAGGAGGGTGGGGTGGGCAGAAGGCTGCACAGACAGGCTGCTGCAGAGCTGGCACGTGGGAAAGACCCTGTAGCCCACTCCCTCTGTAGCCCGCTCTCTCTGGGATCCAGCCCTGCTCACCCTCAGCCTCTGAACCTCCCTCCCCATAGCCAGGGCTCTTTGGGGATCCTGATGGGGCATAATGGGAAGGTCAACACCCATGAGCACCTCCACCCCAAACCCTCACATAAAAATCCCAAAAAGGTTCTAACCCCAAACCCAAAAGGGTTCCATTCACTAGCACTGGCGTTTCAGAAAGAAGACCATTGTCTGCAATCACCAATCACTGACAAGCTTTATCTAAAAAAGCATGCCCCATAGGCTTTTAATTACGGTGGTTTGGAACAAAGCAACAGACTGAATGCTTCATGAACCTAAATTGTCTTCCATGTTTGGAGGGAGAATTAAGAAGAAATTTTGGTCCTCACTTTTCTGTGAATTCCAACTGCCTGTGTAATAAACTCTTCGGCAATAAAATATTGGTATGTAATGGCCCGAACTCAAGATACTCTGAAAAAATAGGAAACTGAAATACAGCAGTGCCATGATGGCGTTTTTATTATGGAGCTACTTCTTCCTCTAAAAACTCTTCGGTGCTTCATTTTCAAGATGTTTTACAAAGTTTCTTTACAGGTTTTGAAACAATAGTTCAAAAACTTTGGGTGCCAGTAACAACAAAACACAACCCAGCCGTGCCTAAACACAAAAATCAGCCAGAATGCAAGGCTCTCAGCTGTGACGAGATATGTGAGACTTGCTCGTCCCTATTGTACAGTGAATGACACACAAAAAAACCTTCAGGAAGCTGGAATTGCTCTGCATTAACCACAGCACATACACCAGAAACAGCATCAAGTCAGGCGCAGGCACCTCCGTGCTGGTCAAGACACTGGGCCCTGTACTGTAGGACATTCAAAGCAGAATGTGACATTGACCCTGCCTTTGAGGAACTTCCTAGATTGCAGTTCTAGACTATGTCGCTGGTACATAGTGTATAGATGTCATTTCTCTTCTCAAAAAACCAAAATGGCTCCCTACTGTCTATATCAACTCAAATTCCTTATCGTAGCATGAAACATCCTCTTTCCCACCCTTCCAGGGTTGTTTTCTAGGACTCAGGAATCACTGTTAATACGGCCAAGTTGGACAGGTCACTGCTCCTCTGCCTTGGTTTATCTTATTCATTGATAAGAATTCTCATGTCATGCCAATGCTTAAAGTTCTGGCCCCAAATTAACCCTTTCCATGAAACCTTCTGTGGACCTCTCGACTAAATAAGTACCCAGTTGGGCCCCAGGTCCCACTGAGTCCTATTTGAACTTTACCTCAAACCCTTATTGTTCAGTGGATTGTAGCTATTTGCCTATTTCTTTTATCTCCCTTCTTGGATGACACTTTTGTTAAGGACAGGGGTCACCTGTCTTTTATGAGCCCAGCAATGTGGCCTTGCAAACTGGAAGGTCTCAAAAACATTTGTGAGACTGAATCGAAAGGTAGAAATGTAACAGTAAGTTTAACACGAAGCAGTGACTTAAGAGAAACAGGCGTGAGATATAGTTACGTCCTTTGGGAGGGGAGACAAGAGAAACCACTGGGGCTGGAATGGTCAGGGGAAGCAGGACCCTGAGGAGGGGCTACCTGCTCTCAACTTCCTTTAAGTTGCTACAAAATATTGGAAATGACTTAATCCAAATTATTTAAAGGCCATTTATCAAGATGTCCTAAAACTGGGTCAGCAACCAACTGCAACTGTCACGTCCCGCCACTTGGGTCGTGTTCTGATACCTACAGTGAGCTGCACATCAGGCTTCTTTTCCAGAAGAACCATTTCACCAGGTAGGCCAAAGGACTTGATTTGGTAGGTGAGATAGCCACCATAGGAAGAAACCTAAAATTGGAATTGTAGGGTCAACAGCACAAGCATTAGACGAACCTATGGGAACATTAACCCACATCACAAGCACAAAGGCCCAATCTGGAAAGATACCATCAACCTGTTCGTGGTCATCTTGAGAGAGAAGAATTGAAGAAGATATTTGAACTTTCTACTTTGTACCATTTTATATCACTTAAAATGTTTAACATGAACATCACTGAGCTTTACAAGCAAGAATATGCTTCTGTTAAGAAGATGGGGCACCTGGGTGGCTCAGTCAGTTAAGCGTCCCACTCTTGGTTTTGGCTCAGGTCATGATCTCACAGTTTGTGAGTTCGAGCCCCACATCAAGGTCTGTGCTGACAGCCTGGAGCCTGCTTGGGATTCTGTCTCCCTCTATCTCTGCCCCTCTCCTACTTGCTCTCTATAATAAATAAATATTTTTTTAAAGAAAAAAAATTATAGTCACACAGAAACAAGTAAGATCCTTCTATTCTAGATGACTACTAACCCAAAGTGTTCATTTAATCTATAGCTATCCTAAGAAATCTAGGCCATTGGTTTCTTATTTAAATGAGAGAACTGGTGGGGCACCTGGGTGGCTCAGTAAGTTAAGTGTCTGACTTTGGCTCAGGTCATGATCTCACAGTTCATGGGTTCAAGCCCCGCGTTGGGCTCTGTGCTGACAGTTCAGAGCCTGGAGCCTGCTTTGGATTCTGTGTCTCTCTCTCTCTCTGCACTTCCCCTGCTTGTGCTCTGTCTCTCTCTTTCTCAAAAATAACCATTAAAAATGTTTTAAAAAATGAGAGAATTGGTTAATACCTATGTGTTACAAAATGAACCTCTAGAAGTAAATTTTTTAAAAACTTCCCCTGAGAGCAGATGGTGTGTATTTCCTAAGTGATCATGCATTCTCCAGGTACAGAAGCCATGTGTGACGGCTCCAGTAGGTTTATAGATCTTTTCTCAAGGCCATCTAAGCAGCATGATCATGGAGGCATGAAGTCATAGTTTTGTGGCAGCTATTTCACCTCTGCTCCTGATACTTCCCACCCTTCGGATAAAAACCAATCAAGAAAGGAGTAATTGAGAGATGAAAATAAGAGGCAATGATCATCTCAGAGTGGGGCAGGACAAAACACCCTTCCTGGAAAACCCAAATAACCTGGAGGAAGGGAGAAGAACAGCATTACCAGGGCCCCAGGTCACAGACGTTCCCTAAAATCTGCAAACTGACAAAGTCACAGAGTTATGGTCTTAGAGTCTGGAAGTGTTCCTGGGTAGCGTCTTAAATCATCCTCTTGAGACTAAATATTGCCTTTCTGATGGACTAAAGTGGTTTGTAAAATATGTCCACAAATCCTTTGATACTCTTGTTTTCAAGACATGGAGCTTAATTTAATTCTCTTCCTTGAGTTCAGGATGGCCTTAGTGACTGCCTTCTAACCAGCAGAATATGGTAGAAGTGAGGATGTGTTTCTGTTGCAATTAAGTTATAAAAAGATTATAGTTTCTATTTTGAGTTCCTCTCTCTGTCTCTGTCTCTCTCTACACATCTCTAGCTCTCTCTCGTTTTCTTTTATTTAAATTTTTAATGTTTATTTATTTTTGAGAGAGAGAGACAGAGTGTGAGCAGGGGAGGGGCAGAGAGAGGGGGACACAGAATCTGAAGCAGCTCCAGGCTCTGAACGGTCAGCACAGAGCCCGACGCGGGGCTCGAACCCACGAACCCTGAGATCATGACCTGAGCCGAAGTCGGACGCCTAACCGACTGAGCCACCCAGGTGCCCCTAGTCTCTCTCGTTTTCTACCCACTACTTACGGGAAGCCAGGTGCCACGTCACAAGGTCCTAAGGACTATGGAGGCCTCACGTGACGAGGAACTGAGACTTCCTTCCAGCAGCCAGCAAGGAACAGGGGCCCGTGACAACCACACGAATGAGCTGGGAAACGGATCCTCCAGTCCTGATGACTCCAGCCCTGGCTGACATCTTGACTACAACCCTATGAGATACCTGAGCCATCCACTCCTGAATTCCTGAGCCACAGAAACTGGGCAACATAATAACTGTTTGTTTCTTTAAGCCCCAAAGTTTGGGGGTAATTGCACAGTAACAGATAACCTACATATGGGCTTACTGTGTGGAGGCCAAGAAGGGTGTCACGTGAGGTAGAAGAGGGGTCCTATGAGAGAAGCAACATTCCCTGCACTCAAAGGTCAAAACCCAAGTCCTTCAACCAGAAGACCCAATTAGATTGGGGCACCTGGGTGGCTTAGCTGGTTGGGCATCTGACTTCGGCTCAGGCCATGATCTTGCAATTTGTGGGTTTGAGCCCCATGTCAGGCTCTGTGCTGACAGCTCAGAGCCTGGAGCCTGCTTCGGATTCTGTGTCTCCCCCTCTCTCTGCCCCTCCCATGCTCATTCTCTGTCTCTCAATAATAAATAAACATTAAAAAAAAATTAGAAGACACAATTAGAGTCCTCGGGCCAACAAGGCCCTATTATGCAGTCGTTCTAAGAGAATGCAGTGCCACCTGAGCCGGGCCATGTGGAATCTACACCTTCTGAAAAGCTCTCCCCTCTGCTGCCAGGTGCCTGGTTCTACAGGAAGCCCACACTCTGTCCTCAGAAATGAGCCTAGTGGGCCAGGCAGCAAAGGAAGAGCAACTCATTTGTCAGCTCCCCGAGGAATGTCTAGCTAACTGCATGTTGACTCGGCTAATGACAGCTGAGGTGCTACTGGCACCTTGTGCTTCTTGTAATAACTCATGAGTCACTTGTCAGCTTTTGTTTTCCTGACAAGGAGCCTTTCTTCCACTTTAAAACAAGAATTCTTAGCAGTAGCTTTTAAAAGCACACATGTCCCATTTGCAACAGATATTATTGAAACGGTTAAGCAAAAATGGAGAAAAACGTGATGCGCGATTTCCTTTGCTGGTGAGCTAATGCTTGTGGGGTACATGAGGCTCATACATGCTTAACCCCTCCCAGCGGAAGTCCCACCTCTTTTCTGCATGTGTAGTTCATCTAATTTCTTCAGTTTTAGGAGCCTGAATTTCCTGACACTTCCTTCCAGACAGTAAATGATGCTCACGTGGTGGAGGAGGAGGCCCGGCGAGGACTCAGAAGAACAACAGGATGCCGTTACCTTGTCTCCCAGGTAGGAAAGGGGTGCGACCCAGGACGCGCTGTGCACGGTGGAGGGCAGCTCCTGGAGGTCTGCGACCACACTGCTGCTGCCTGGGTTGAATGAGACGGGGATGTCTGCTCTGTCTGCTGTCTCCAGGCTCCAGCCCATCATGTCCACAAACTGGAACACAAGAGCAAAGGATGGCAACGTGCACTTGCGGCTGCTCTGGTGACGACTGAATTATGCAGAACAATAAGGACCAGCGGCAGCCACCTTGCTTCAAAGGCTTCACTTGGATGCCTCCTCTTGAACTTGACCTTGGATTCCCATGACAGAACCCTCCCCAGCCACTGCCTCCCTTGTTCCCATCACAACTGGGAGTACTCAGACCGTGGTGATCACAGTATGTGGAATTTATCTTTGTCCCAGCACACTTCCTGGATCTGGACATGTAGTAGGTAGCCTATAAATATTTAAATAACATACAAATAAGTGTGGGGATAATAACTAGGACCGTGGGCACATTTTAATGGTGAGCTCTTTAGAGAGCAAATGTGAGATGGAATGGAGTGGCCTGCTATCATGATTTTTCTTTAAATGAATCCTCATAACAAATAATTTTTGATCATAAAGGAAGACAAGATTTAAATGATGAGGGAGAAAAAAAGAAGAAATTGACAAGACATTAGTAAGAAGTAATGCTTCTGGGTTCCCCTGGAGGTAGAAGACCTCAGTGGATTTACAAATTAAGTTTTTCCCCAGTTACAAGCATACATTCCTCTGGAGAGGCAGGCAATGAAATTTACAAAATAATTATTCCTCACATCCTTGTTAGACAGAAGACATTACTCACACAAAGAAGGCAAGTGTGAAACTGCTGGTTCATGGAATAACAAAGGCAACAAAAGTTTTAGTTTCATGGAGTTAATTTAAAAACTGGCCAGAGATGTGGTAAAAATAAATGAGATGGAAAGTAAAACAGAAAAACAGGAAGCAGAGAAAAATAAGTGAGGGGGAAGAACAGGAAACCCCATTTATTTCATGAGTGTTTCTTGAGCATCTATTATGTTCTGGACGCTGCTATAGGCACTGGGAATATATCAGGAGCTTACATGCTGGTGTTGGAGAAAGATACTTATAAACATATTTTAAAACTAACTGGATAACATGTCAGGGAGGGATAAATTCTACAGAGGACACAAAGAAAGGTAAGCATACAGAGCATTCAGGGTGAGCTATTTCATAGGGAGCAGTGAGGGGAGGCCTCTCTGAGCCCAGGACACTTGTGCAGACCTGACCAATGGAGGGACTGAGCGTGAGGACATCTGTGGAAAGAACAGTGCGGGCTGAGGAATGGTGAGCACAAACCTTAACACTTTAACAAAGTAACATATAAAATTTCCCCAAGCCCTCACACTTCAGGGCAATTCACTTCCTCCCCATTTGGAAGTACAAAATGAAACCCAAAACGCTAATTCCATATATACCTTAGCTCTTCTTTTATGTGTACTGTGACAACGGTTATTTATTCCAAAACAAAAGCAGCGGGTACAACCCTTGGGATTTGCCGGGTCCAAGTAGAATGATCCTTCTCGACACATATTACATTCCATACCCTCCACGTTCTCCTATTGAAATAAAACAAGAAACAAGAGATGGCTTCTTCTAAAGATTCCCTGATGGCAATTAGCTACTTCTGCAAATTAATGCCAATACAAGATGTTACAACGCAGATGCTGACAAGACATGGAAAGTTATATAACTGTCAAGCTTTTTATATCACGTTAATTGTTTAAACTATTCTACCACACTTAAGTGAAAGAGAGAATTTTCTCAATTTCACAAGATGCCCCTTGGCATCCTGAATGTAGAGAAATAGCACCATAAGGATTCACAATATGGTGGATGGCTGGTTCATTCCACTTACTTCTACCTCAAAACATCTGAACCTCTTGAAATTATAAAGTTTGGTGCCAACTTTTCTGGAAAGGATCCTTATCTGTCTTCTGATTCTTACAGTCTACATCTTCTCCAAAGGATAAGAAGGGTCTTCCCTTGTAACTATTTCTATCTAACGAGATAATAACTATTAAATGCTACATGCCTTGTGGAAATCCATTATAGGTCAGTCCCACTTCCCACATATTTTTATGCATTGAGCCAACATGAAGAACTTCCTCACCGACCAGTGGCTAGTGCCCTCGGGATTGTGTGTTCTGCCTCACCTTGCACAGGCAAGCTCCGGTCCCTGGGTCGCAGACCCCTGGCTCTGTCCCATCCCTGTTGCAATGGCACGGGATGCACTCAGGGAAGTGGTAAAACCCAGAAGCACACTGGTCACACTGCCGCCCCATGACTCTGGGCTTGCACCTGGACCCAAAGCAAAGGAAGCGAAAGTGTTCATCGTCTTTGCCGAAGTCTACCTGCACAGCATTAGAGCAGTTCCTGCACAAAACCAGCTGAACCCACACACTGCCCGCCTGTGGGGTGCTCACTTCCCAAGGCAGAATGGAAAGAAGCAGAGAAAAGGCACTTCCACAAAGTAGGTCAAGACGACCATCCTGGAGGTCACCTCTGGGTCTGGCGTGTGCTAGGCTCTGGGTGTACAAGGACAGACACAACCCCTGAGCCTAGGTGGCAGGGCAGAAATGTGGACAATATACACATGGGGTCTCAGCTGGGGTTGGGGATAGCAGCTCTGACCCAGGCTCCCAGAGGGAGGTGATGTGTGAGCTGAACCTAAAAGGGTAAATGTTGTGGGGTAGGAGTAGAGGTGGGTGTTCCAGACAGAAAGAACAGACAGGAGCATCCTGGGGTGTGCAGGGAGCACACATATGAGTGAAGAAAGCTGACCCATTAGCTGAAGAGGGAGGCAGGAGGCAGTTCATGGGGATAGAGGTGCTGGCCGCCATGATGCTGTCTGGTGGAGTGCGGTGGCTGAGCCCTGTGTACTGAAGGCAGTTTGGCTGGAGTACTGACCCCAGCTCTGGCGTCCAGCAGATACACTATCTTAATAATTTGCTAAGGCCCCATTTTCTCATCTGTGAAAGGGAAAATGCTAACCACTACCTCCCAGGACCCCTGTGGAGACAGATGAGGCACATGGCAAGCTCTCAGACAAGGAATCGCCATCTTGCAAAGCTTTAAGTAGGAAAGAGTGTGGTTGGATGTGTGTGTGGATGGAGTCAAGATGATCAATTCTGCAGCAGGCTGCAGTGTCAAGAGGGAGAAGGGGCTGAATTAGGGCAAAGGCACTTGGAATGGAGAGAAGAGATGGGCTCCAAGTTATTTGGGGGTGAGGCTGCTAGGGCTTGTAGTTTTCTGGATGACAGGAGAGAAGAGGGAAAGGCAAGGAAGACCCCCAATCATCCAGACTGGACCCCGGAGTGGATGAGGTAGTGGGCAAGGCTGGCGGGAAGTCCAGCGGGCAGCGGCCCTGTGCGTGGGCTCCAAGGAAAGCTCTGTGGGGAGCAGGGAGCCATGCACACGTCTGCACACTGGAGGCAAAGAATGGAGGGGAAGACCCAGAAGTTGACAGAGTGAGAAGAGCAGTGACAGGTCAGCAGAACGGAGAAGCCCGTCACCCCGCGGGCTGGAGGGAGGGAGAGGGAGTGGGAGTCAGCTCCATCACCAAGCTCCATGGCTGACGTCTGGTGGGATCCACACGCTGATCTTTTCTTTGTGGGTCTAAAGAAAATACTAGAAAATGTGTGTTATATCATAACATTGGAGGTATAATCTGACACAAAATATTTTACCACTAACTTGCTACCAATGTCTATTAAAATATCTTGCCCCAGGGACCATTCTGAAAAAGAGAAATCTAACTTTCTTTCCCACATTCCCACAAAGTTTTCCTTTGGCAAATACCTGCTTATAATCAAGTACAGAACGTTGTGTTTGATGAAGAACACAAACTTGGGACCACGCAGCCCAGCTTTGAATCCCAGCTTGGCTACTCACTGGATATAGAACCTTGAGCAAATTAACCTTTTAATAGCTGAGTTTACTTAGCTGTAAACATAGAGATTACATATCTACTTCATAGGATTATTTTATGAATAAAATAACATATAGAAAAGCCTTAGAACAGTACTGTGCACACATGTAAGAATTTGCTATCATTATTCCTATGGCATTGGTAAGGGAGCAAATGGGAGTCCCTAGGTTACCCTGCTCAGCACACCTAAAAAGACACAATTCGTTTTACCTGCAAGGCCTGCTTCCAGGTCAAAGGTCATTGCAGTTCTTTCTGGTCTTCCTCCCTACCTGATACCTGCAGAAATTCTCTTCATAAGGAAGCAAATATTCTCCAAATCACACCTAGAGCAATGTAGGTGAAAGTGTCAACACTCTGCTTAAAGTCATCCACTCCAGTGTGGTGGACAGAAACTTTTGGAGGGACAGAGACTCTTCTTCAAAGCTGGATAAATTATGGGCCACTCACAGGCTTCTTTCTTTTCTTTTTCTTTCTCTTTTCTTTCCTTCTTTCTTCCTTCCTTCTTCCCTCCCTTCCTCTCTCTCTTCCTTCCTTTCTTTCCTTCTTTCTCTTCCTTTCTTCCTCCCTTCCTTCCTTTCTTCTTTCCTTTCTTTCTTCCTTTCATTCTCTCTCTCTCTCTTTCCAACACACAAATTTGCATTCACTATAAGAGGGTTCCTAGGTCCTGATTAGTAACACCTGCTCTCTTACTGTGACTCTCAAACTAAATGCAATCAGACAGTCCAGCAAAAACAGAAACAAAAACAAAAACCAAAGACTGGTCCCAGATGACTCCTTATTTCTGGGGGGAGCAGTCGGCGGGGGGGGAGGGGAGCACAAGATTCTGGTGGTCCAGAGACAGGAAAGAATAGAGTACAGACCACCCCGCCCAAATAAAATCCTCAGAAAGAGGAAGCTTTGATCAGAAGAGGAGCTTGGAGATGGTCTGACTTAGGAGATGATCTGACTTAGGCTGGGTGGGCTCTGCTCCTCTCCCCCAGCCCAGAGGGAAAGAACACTGTGCGGAGACAGTGCTGTGGTCACAAACTGCCAACTGGGCAGCTTGTCGAACCAAAGTCCAGGTTTCTTATAGCAAAGGTGCAGAGCTTCTGGCTTCCAGGTGCTGTAATTGAAGGCTGGTGCCAAACGAGCCACTCACATGCTGAATGCCATTGGTGGCCAAGGCTGAGGGTGGCCCCTTGAGCAAATGACCTGGACCTAGGCCTTGAAGGCAAGGACAGGCAGACAGGAGCCTATTTTGCGTATTTTCACCTGAGTGGGAAAGAAAGGTACCAGAGTGGTTTACAGGGAGGGCAGCTTGTTGAGACAAAGAGAAACGGAAGCAAATCATTCCTTGCTAAGTATTTCAGAATGCTGTGAGATGATGTGGCAGCAAGGAGAGGTGGGCTGAGGGCATGTGGTCACGTCAGCAAGGTGAGGTAAAGCTCTGGGCCTCACTCCGCACACAAGGAGCAACAGAACGCCTAAGAATGGACAACAAAAAGCCAAAAGCTGAGCAGAGTGAGAAGAGTGCGGGCCTGTGAACTGACCCTGAGGACCCCAGGTGGGACCGACAGAGAAGGATTAACCAAAATGTGGACATTATAATATCAGAATTCCTGAGCATTGAGCATGTGAATCATATGCAAAAACAAGCAGCCAAATGACTTTTTGGCGGTACCATGACAACAAGGAATCAAAAGGAAACTTCCTCTTCAAAGTCTGGCTGAACACCTCTTAAAAACTACCTCAAGTCAGCCTGACCGTGACACATTTCTCCAGTGAGATGCTCTGCTGCCCAAGGAGCTGCCCTCGCTGCAAAGGCAAGAAGTTTCCAGCAGATGCTGCCTGTAGGTGCAGACTGGGGGTGTGGGTCAAGTGAATTCATCTCCAAGGCAATGGGCTCATGGCCAGGCCTTATTACAGAACATCTGCGCATGTGTGGGTGCTTGCTGTGTTGCACAAATGGCTAGAAAGTAGGGTGTGAGAGTGAACCCTACCCTTTGCTCATTCAGTACAGTGGGTCTCTTAATAGTACACCCACTTCAACTCCAGTCGTAATCTAGAATCCAAAGTCTACCTTATTCATTCTTCAGTTCGATAATCACTGAGTGCTTTCTATACACATAATCCTGTGTTAGAGGATGCAGGAGGGAGGGGATAAAGTAGTGTAAGTGGGTCTTGACCGTGGCACATTTTCACCAAGAACACAGGGCACAGAGATGCAGAAAGTGAGGTAATCATATGAGAAATGGGATGTAAGCATCTCATTTAGGGAATGAGATGATTAATAACATCTCTGCGGACTCATAGAAGGCTTCATGCCTTCTTTGAGTTTGTGCTTTTTTTAAAAAAAAAATGTTTATTTATTTTTAGAGGAAGAGAGAGTGAGAGAGCAAGGGAGGGGTAAAGAGAAAGAGAGAGAGAATCCCAAGCAGACTCCACACTGCCAGCACAGAGCCCAACACAGAGCTCAATCTCACAAGCCGTGAGATCATGACCTGAGCTGAAATCAAGAGTTGGATGCATAACCAACCGAACCACCCAGGTGCCCTGAGTCTGTGCTTTTAACACATAATCCTTGGGATATGTGTAGCAGAAGAAGGAAAGGAGAACTGATACCTGGAGAACCGAACATATAAAAAGTGTTTAGAGGAAGTAAGAAAACCAAGCCAAAGAAGGAAGCTGAAAAGAGGCTTAAGTTAGGGTCGGTGGGGGCCATATTACCACAAAAGCCAGTCTTTAACCTATCAGGTTGTTGTGAAAGGTTCTTGGGCAGTAATGTGATGGAAGTGGCACCTGGCAGACCCACGTGCTCTCAAGGGAGCCTGCACAGAACATGGCGCTCACCATGCCACCCTGGTGGTTAGTACAGCTTCCCCTGCCAGACCTTGACCTCTTATTAGTAGGTGGGTGTACCTTCTGCATGAGGCACAGCACCCAAATTGGAGTAGGTGCTAGATGGAGTTTGAGCAATAAAACATGCTGATACCTGAGAAAACAGAATTTAAGGCAAAAAAAAATCACAGTAATTGAGAAAAATGTTTCATTATAGTTAAAAATATCAAGAGGATAAAATCATAAATGTACATGCATTTATCCACATTGCCTCCAGTTTTGTAGACTAGATCAAGAATTCTATGTATTAGTGACAAAATTATGGGGAAAATAGATTTTAAATCCCAAGATTATTGTGTACTTAGCATCTTCTTTTTCAATTAAGCCTCCTCCCCTAAAGGAATGAATGAGTGAATGAGTGCTTGAGTAAACCAGGAAAAGGAAGGTCAATTAGAAGACCACCAATATGATTTAAATATGAGGGGGTAAAAGAACTTAACCAAGGTGGCAGCAGAGAGCTGAGGAAACAAAGGGGATAATACATATCCTGCCA